GGGCTCGGCCCCCCGCGGGGCCCGGCGGCGAGGCTGAAACCTCGCAGCCCTTGCAACAGAAGCGGGGACTGCGGTTCGGTCCCTCGAGGGCTGGTGAACAAACAGTAAGGTACAAAAGGAGGAACGGGAGGGCTGCTCTTCGGCAGCCATTCGGTGCCGCGGGAAGTGTATCTGCGCGCTCGCGGAACCCTCTTTTCCTTGGAGCCGCGCTAATGCATTGCTCCCTTTGGCACCTGGGGCTGCATAGCTCTGTTTGCAATTCCATTGCAACCAGAAACCTGAATGCGTCGGGACTAAACAAACAGTAAGGTACAAAAGGAGGAACGGGAGGGCTGCTCTTCGGCAGCCATTCGGTGCCGCGGGAAGTGTATCTGCGCGCTCGCGGAACCCTCTTTTCCTTGGAGCCGCGCTAATGCATTGCTCCCTTTGGCACCTGGGGCTGCATAGCTCTGTTTGCAATTCCATTGCAACCAGAAACCTGAATGCGTCGGGACTATCCCATCTCAGGGATAGAAGAAAGGAGGGAGATTTGCCAGTCCTCCGAACGGAGAAAGCAGATGTGAAGCTATTTCCGTGAGCCGCTAGACTGCTGTTCGCCTCCTATAGAAAACCAGCGGCGTGGCCATTTCTTCCACGATCTCCAGCGAGGTCTCCCAGAGCGATGTACTGGAAGCAGCGTGGGCGGCAAAGCTCCCTCCCTCTCACACCACCTTGTTACTCTTTTTTTACTGTGGAAATTGAACTGCGTGGAGAATGAGGGGTTGGTGCACATGGAGGGGCTTACGTTTTCTGTTGGAGCGGTATTTTAGGGACCTTCATACTGGGCATTTTGCCGGCATTGCTTCCCGCTTTCGGGTGCGGCAGAGCGGGCAGCAAAGCGCGGGTAAACGGGCGGCAGCCGAGTCAGCCGCAGCCCGGTTGTACGGACTGCCGCAGCCGGAGCCCAGCCAGGGCAGCACGAAGGCAGGCCTGAGCGGGGATCCTGCCTTCAGTGGACATTTTCATTTTAAAAGATGTTTTATGTGTTGCCAGCTTAAGAAAGCATAAAAAAGTACTTGATTTGGCAAGTGTAGATGAACTTAGTTGGAGCAGAGCCCGAAGCCCAGGTAATTCTTTCGCTCACATCAATTTTTTTGGGTGTGCAGCGGCCCAAGCTGCCCTCTTTGGAAGGGAGTGGTGTGGCTCCAGGCGGCAGCGGTGGCAGCTCCCCTTTCAGGGCAGCCCTTACCCCTCGCGGTGCCGCTGGTGCCCTGGGGATGGGGGGCCATGGGTCTGAGCCTCAGCGGGCCTCTGCTTTTAATGATTTCCACGTCCTCAGATTTCTGTGGTGAGTAACCACATGTAAAACCAGAGCCAGTCACCGCTACAGAGTCCAGCGGGAACAGAGCAACAAAAGCACCGTGTGAAACAGAAAAATGTCTTTGCATCATTCTCGTGGCCCTTAGAGCCAGTGTGTGCTTCACCAAGCAGCCTTCTCTCCAGCTCACTTTTTTATACATGGCCTTCTTGATTATAGCATCCCACTATTTCCACTGCCATATGCCAAGTGTTTTCTGTGGTGAAGGTAGTAAGGGAATGCCAGCATCCGTTAGTCCAACTCTCATCTTACCTCTTACTAGAACTCATGTAGTCACCGGTTTTATTTATAGCGTGGCTCCAGCCGAGCCTGGGATGCCCATGCTGGTTTTTGCACCAAAGCACAGGAAAAGGAGCAACTCCAGAAGAAGAAAGTTCACCGATCTGCCAAAGGGGAGAGGGCAGGGGCTGTAGTTTACAGCTCCTGTGGTGCAGATAGTGGCATGGCTTGCAGAAGGGGGAGTAGTTGCATGATCTTTTCTTTTTGAAACAAGTGGGGATTAGGTGGTTTAAAATGGATGAAGAGAAATAGGTGTGAGAAGGGGGAAGAGCAGGATGTAGTTATCTGTGAGGATTTGGGATGAAGACTGGAGGAACCAGTTGGGAGGGCAATGACTGACCTTTCCTAATACTGTGGTGTGAGGGAGGACATCCGTGTGCCATCCTCCCGCGCCTGCCTTCCCACCGCCATGGATGGGGATCCTGAGCTCAGGCTGATTGCAGGGTGCAGCTTCCCATGTCCACATCAGCCCCGACTCGCTGTGTGCTCTGGAGTCCGACTCGCACGGCTTGAGTATCGTGACATGATTCTGTCCAGCAAGAATCACAGCAGAAGAAAACCAGCATTAACCTCTGCTCTCTACGAAATGCAAAAGTTTCTCCTTTAAAAAGAAAAAAAAGAAAAAAATAATAATGAAAGCTTATTAGCCGAGACAGTTATACAAGCAACGGTGGGTAACTATTAACATGGAACTCATGTATGTGTAACATAGAATGTATTGGAATGTTTTGAATCTTCTGAGGTTTTCCAACAGGTTTTAATCCTTGCACTAGGCCAATCTTTAATTCTAGTATTTACGCATCTTTTCATAAAATAATTGGCATCTTAATTTACAGCAAATTCTGCTGGCACTGCTTATCTCTGAAATTTTATTTATCCTTTTTTTTTCCTCTATGGAACCATTTTCCTTGTGATCCAGAAATAGCCCATTAGCTTGTGCCACAGCAGGGGGGGTTGTGTTTTGTTGTTGGTTGGTTGTGCTTAACTTGGTTAGCCTCGCAGTTAATGGGCGGAAGCAGCAAGATCTGTTCTGTGTTTCAGTACAACGGCGTCTGCTTGCAAGGCCCCAGTGGCGTTCCTGGACGGGATGGAAACCCGGGAACCAACGGGATCCCTGGGACACCTGGGATCCCTGGACGGGACGGGCTGAAGGGGGAGAAGGGCGAGTGCATGCGCGAGAGCATCGAGGAGTCCTGGACGCCCAACTTCAAGCAGTGTTCGTGGAGTGCGCTCAATTACGGCATCGATCTCGGGAAGATAGCAGTAAGTTAGCTTTGCCTAGGATGCTGCGCTTCGCCAACTGCAGCAGGGTCTAGAGCTGCCTCTGTGAGCTGGGTAGCACCAATCATACAGATTTCCTATAGGAGCCTTTTTTTCTACATGTAAGGGTGAATTTCTCAAAGGTGTAGCTACTTGGGATTCATCTCGGCTGTGTTTCACAGCTGTGTGCCCATTTCATTTCTGTAACAGCGTTTCAAAAGAATGATGTGGCGGGTGTAAGTACATCTAGTAGACCAGCTCTGTAACCGTAAGGCTGAAAGTCACCCTACCAAAAAAGTACCTCCAGCTTGCCCAAAATAGGGCAAGGTTTTTACCATTTCAATCATGAGGAACAGGAGAAAGGCGCATCTTTGATCTGTTAATTGTACCTGTCTTTATAACTCCTTCAAGACGGTTGTTCACTGAAACTCGGTTGCAGGATGCTACTGCAAAAAGGGTCAGCGTTGCTCAGGAGCAGCATTACCCAGTGGGACCCAGACTAACCCAGGTCTGTCCTCCACTGCAGCCCTCCGTGTAAACCTTTCAAACACAGCGGTGCAAGCCTGGAAGAGGGGAAGAAATCCCAGCTATGAAGCAATGCCCAGATGCATTGCAGTAACGTAACTGCTATCGCTGTGGCTAGAGCAAGAATCAACTTTTTTTGACTAGATATTTCTCATGGCCTTGTACTTGCAGAACTGTCCCTAGCTTTGCCCACCCCACCATGATATCCAGCATTTTGAAGACCTTTTAAAAACCTGAACATGTTTCTTTTTCAATTGTGAAGCTTTTATCAGGATTTTAAGCCTCTCGCAAATCTTGTGATAACTGTTAAATCCAGGATTTCTGGTAACAGAAATTGTACTGTCCTCTCCTGCAAGGACTTGACTGTGGCTTTCAGAGGGCTCATACCCCTTTACATAAATCCCAGAAGGTAACTAGGTTACCAACTTACCAGCAGGTATTATCTAAGTAAAGTTAAGAATTTCCATAATCCCCCTTGTCCATTACCAGCTATGAGGTGCTGTTTCTGATTTGCATCTTTGCGCTGTATGGTATTTGCCACGTTCTGCTTTTTTCTTCTGGTTTTTTTTTTGTTTTTTTTTTTTTTTTTTTTTTTTTTTTTTTTTTTTTTTTTTTTTTTTTTTTTTTTTTTTTTTTTTTTTTTTTTTTTTTTTTTTTTTTTTTTCCAGAGGGAAGGGACTAAAGAGAATAGCCAAAATATTGTGAAATAAATAGAATTATATTCCTAATAGATTCCTAAATATATTTCCTAAATATATAGAAAATAAATAGGTTCTCAACCAGAGGTTGCTACCGAAGCATTTATTTCTTCTCTTAGGAATGTACGTTTACAAAGATGCGCTCCAACAGTGCTCTCCGCGTTCTCTTCAGTGGGTCGCTTCGGCTAAAATGCAAAAATGCCTGCTGTCAGCGCTGGTACTTCACTTTTAATGGAGCAGAATGTGCCGGGCCACTTCCTATTGAAGCCATAATATATTTAGATCAAGGAAGCCCAGAGCTGAATTCTACTATTAATATACATCGAACTTCTTCAGGTACGTATGCCAAGACCGCACGGAGATGGAGTAGAAGCCGGTAGCAACTCCAGTTACCAAATGCAGCATCTATGGTCTGCCTTACAAAGTTGAAAAGACTGAATGAAGGGGCAAAGAGCGACCAGCTAACACAGCTACTCTTACTCTGCTATCTCACAGTATTATTTATTAAGGGTGCTTTATTACTGTGGTATTTTTCATGGCACTCACTTGCATCCTGTAATTTAGAAATGGAAGAGCTTTCTAGCCAGTTTTACTGATTTCTGCTACAACATGAATATGGAGACATTCTGTGCTGCATTAGGTTATGGAGAAACTGCCTTGCTGCCAAGTAGACGGTGTCATCCTGGCTTAAAATACTGGTATTTGCACAGCACCTGTGCATAAAGTGAGACTTCTTCCTCCTGGAATTTCTACTATAATTTCATGTGGGGCACAAAAGTACCTCCAAAGTGAAATATCTAGGAATTATTATTCAGTTGCTAAGCAGAAGGCAAATTAGTGAAAAGTCATTCAACATAAAAGGAGGTGACACTAGGAAAAGGGGGCTAATGTCAAGTCTATCCTCTTTCTCCATTTTCCTCCATGTACTGTTCATGACCGCATGAAATTTAACTTCTAGAGCTATGATAGGTTTTTTTTTTTATCCAGGGGTAGGACCCACCTGCCTTCATTAACCCACCTCCAACTAATGGTGCTATGGAAGCCAGGTATGGCTGTCCCCCCGGCCCCAAATCCCCATCGCTGCCAAGATGGCTGGATGGGATTGAAGCCACATGCCAGCTACCACTTTGTAAATTTGGATGTTTAAAGTGGCAGGCATACCTCCCATTTAGCCATCCTGTGGATTGTGAGCCGCTTCAGGCTGCTTCAGGAAGCAGCGTGGATAAAGGCAGTGCGTGACTCTGGAGCCTGTGTTGCCCCATCTCTTTTATTTTTAAAAACGCTGTTCGGGTTTAACTAAATAGCATGAGCTTGCAGCGAACTTGTGTCCTCCTTCACTTGTGAAATGCAAAGCGATCATGTCTGCTGAGGTAACCCGATTTTTGTCTTTAACCAGTGGAAGGCCTGTGCGAAGGGATCAATGCCGGCTTGGTGGATATTGCCATCTGGGTTGGGACTTGCTCAGATTATCCACGGGGAGATGCTTCTACTGGTTGGAATTCAGTCTCCCGAATCATCATTGAAGAACTGCCAAAATAACCTTCCCTCCCTTTTTATAATCTCTCCTTTTTTTATTTTTTTTTATTTTGTACAATTTTCTTCAGAATTTATTTCTGTAGAGTTGGATGCAAGTGTTTGACCGAAAGGCACCAAGCTCTTGCATCTGTAGTGTTTGTCTAGCCTTTTTTTGCACATTGCAGAGGCATTTTGTAATAGTCTTTTTAGAATATATCAAAACCAAGTCCATTAACTTTTTTAGTTCTTTGTTTGATGTACGAAAATATACCACCACCATTTTAGGAATTAACTGTAACTTTTTGTATCAAATAAATAAGACCTTTTACAAAAAAAAAAAAAAAAATCAGGCTATTTTATTGATCATCAAACTATTTAAGGGATTTTACATGGTGTTATGATAAACAATACATTTTTTTAGAAGACTTCATAGAAGGTTCTAAGAAAGTAAACTCAGGTCTTGGCTTTAGCCTTCAGAAAAGATACGTAACAGCTACTCCTGGGAACCTCGCTACAGAAGAGGATGCTCTGTTGTTACAGTCTTAAGTCTCTCGACAAACTCCTGGTGACTTAACTGTGACCTAGGATGATGTAGTAAGCGTTAAAATACCTCGTTTGGAATAACTAAGTAAAAACAGCCTAAGCTCTCCTTCCCTCCCTCGCTTCTTGATAGACTGGATTTCAGTATAAACATCTATTACTGGTCTCTACTATTAGCATGCAGATACTAAATAATTTTACAGTTATAAAACTTCATTTCATTGCTCCAACAAAATTATTCTGGATTTAGCCTTTCAGGTATATACAATCGCTTTGGTGTTAATTAAAAGCTAGATACATTAAATAGTTTGGAAGATACAGAAATCAGGCAGGTTGAAATGCCTTGGCTTTCAAAAAGCGTACTGGTGAAGTGAAAGAATGATGTCACAGCTATTTGACTGCAGCCTCCAGACTGGACAAATGATGACACTGATCATGCCAGCACAGCAGTAGCTTCAGTGCTTTAAGTATTTTCTTCCAAATGCAACAAGGGATATACTAAAATATTTTTAAAAATTGTACAGATTCTAAGGGAAATGTTAGTCCTGTTTATGTTACAACATCAATTTTACATTAATGAAAGTAAAAAACCAAGAGAAAGCATGTACAACATGCAGAAATCTACACTTCCCAGAAATTAAAAGGAAAAAACATTACATCTGAGATAAGGACTTTGTTTCAGCTATTTAGGATTAAGTCTCAGCTTTCTTCCCTGAAGAGGTCATAAGATTTTCCCTAGGCATCTCTCAGAGTGGTAGCTCTTGTCTGCAGCTTTTGTTAAGAATGCCAGAGGAACACACCTGCAGCTAGGAGAGTGTTCAGGCTTTCCCAACTGCAAGCTTATGTGTGATACTGCTGCAAGCCAGCAAATTATACAGCTGGTATTTTGTTTCTGGGGAACTGTACTGTTTTCATTGGCTTGGACGATGGGTTTTAAGGCACCTGAACACAAACAAGTTACTATGAGCTAAGCTGTGGTGTGAATGTGCAGAATGTCAGTTAACTTACAGTAACTGATTGTGTACATGCTTGGAGCCTGTCTCTGCATTGATCCTGGAGCACGAGTAAGCTGTTCTGGGCCTAGAGCACACTAATCCAGGCTAGTAAGTGCACAACTTTTATTCTTGTCTTATGATTTATTCATGTGCCTTCTGAATATTTTTTTGGACCCTGGGTGGCAGAGTTAACTCGGTGTTCCATTAAATTAATTCTGTGTACTAGAAAATGCACAAAACCAAGGAAACACCCTCCAAAAAACCAGAAGTTGGTAGCTGTTAGGGATCTACACCGTAATTTGCATGGTAAACTTCCAGTAAATTTGATCTTCAACTAAATACACATGGAAACTTTCACCATAAAAACCAAAGCCAGCCACAATGGCCACATGCCCTTTTCAGATGAGATTATCAGCTATATCAGTAGAGGGGATGGGATCATGGAGGAGAAAGTGTAAATTATTAATAAAGTTAAGTATACACAAAATGTGGTATGTGGCAATAGCATCAACAGAAACAAGCAAGTGGATTACTGAATTAAGATTCAAAATATCGAGCAGTTTCTCTAGTCTTCCAGATTTTAACTTAAAATTGAAACCAATTTGCTAATCTGTTAATTTTTTTTTATAAAAAGACCTTATTTCTGCTTTAGTCTTCTCTTAAACAGGAACCTTCTCTAAGTGATTATTCAGGTGTTTTGCTGGATAGTATTCTCTGCTCTTTACAAAACTGATTATTTCCCCCTACCTGTTGAATAATCTTTGCTAACTTACTTCCTCTTTAGTTAAGTGATACATTCTAGATACTTACAACCATCTTACTAACAGCGGAAGGCACATGTTATGGCCAGTAACGTATTTTCTTAAAGAACTAAAAAAATAAAACAAGCCCAGATCTCCAAAAAGTACATATCCTTGACAGCAATTATTAGCATGCAAATAAACATCATTATTATATAAATTTACTGAGATGTACTGTAATTTCATTTATCACTAAGTTAGCAATCAATATATTCTTACAGTCCTTTCCTTAGACCAAATCAGAAGACATTTATGCATCATTTTGGTTTGGTTTTTTTTTTTTTTAAAAAAACGGTATTTTTCAGACTACTTATGGAATTTTTTTTTCCAGAGAATATTATTGAAAATAAGTATGGTCATATTTGTTATTGCAGTGGTTTGAAAACTGCATCACTATAGGATTACTAGAAAAACCTCTCATTTTAAAAATGTAAGCCTATTTGCAAATATGCATTTACTTAGTAACATTTGGTCAGATATATGAGTAATGGAGACAGAATCCCGCTCAGTGAGAGAGAGATTGAGAGAGGGGGCAGGCAGGGAAGAGAGAGAAAATGAACTAAGTGGCCAGTGATGCACACAACGTACACTTTGGTGTGGTGCTAAAAGCAAGCCAAAACCCACAATGCAAGTCTGTCCTGGTATGAGACAAGAACTGGGTTTCATCAGGTTGGCAATTATTCAAACCCAAGAATGGACAGCTGTTTCACAAAACAATCTGAGTTTCCAAACTGCACCCCACCGAGGCAGCATTTTTGTGTTGGATGAGCAATGGAATTTGGAGCATTCCATATCCTAAAATCTGACAAATAACACAGAGGTGGATTCAGAAGACATTGCTGTAAGCAACCACATACATACTTTCTTCATGAGACTCAGACAGAGGTTTAAAAAAGTTGTAACAGACCCCAAAGTTGCTTTTATATAAAGTTTTCCACTTGTGTAGGAGTAGAATCTGACCAACTGTTAAATCTTGAGACTTGTCGAAACAGATTAGTCCGTTATTCCAGACAGGCCAGGATGAACTGAATTGCTGTGCAGCTGCCTGCACCCAGTCACAGTGCTTCTATTTCACAGTTGCAGAAACATCTATTTCAGGCAGACACAGCTGATTTGGAGAGGAAGACAGCAACGAGGAACATTCAGCAGAAAAGACGTTGGCAGGGCTTTACTATCTCCAGGTTCTTTCCTCCAAATACTAGATCAATTCACAGTGTCAAAAAAGACTGCTGAACTAAATCTCTCCCAGATCATAAATACAAAAAATAAAGGATAGATTTCTTATGAATGCAAGCTCATACCTTTAATTATTTTCTTTTCTAAAACCAAGTAAAAAACCAGACACATTTTCATAAACGACAAAGGTAATACAGCAGGCAGGAGTCACTCTGATCACATTGGGGATGATTCCTTTGTAAAATCCATGAATTCCTTCTTTCCTTTAAAAACACGGAAAAACACTTAGTTTTAATTATTTCTTATTATTTTTGTTTAATATTTTTATTAATGTATAGAAATCAGACATAAAACAAAGCCCAGCATTTTTGTTCTTGTGCTCGCACTGAGAGAGGTACTTCAGGTTAGGAATAACAATTTCAGAGTATTTCTTACTGTAGTGTTTAAAAAAGCCGTAACATATTAACTCTTAACCCATCATTTTCTCTTCTGAACATACAATAGTATTCTGCAGGTCAGTTATTTAGCCTAGGGTTTGCATGGGTTTTTGTGGTTTTTTTTTCGTACTGTCTAAGCAGGAGGCAATTGACTGTCTGACTTCATGCCACAAGAACTGGTTAAAATAACTTAAAATTTCCACAGCCTATTTGAAAAAGCATTTACATATTTAATCTCACTGAAGCCAGCAGGGCTGAAGGGCTTGGTGGTTTTGGGTCATGTAACAGCAAGTGAACTGAGGGTCAACACAACTGAGGAAAGTCAGCATTTATTTTCAGAGAATTAAAGCGCCTCCTGGAACAACACAGCCTCATTCACTCATTCAGGTGACACCTCTTAATACCCCAGGGGTTAGCTGACTCCATTCACATCTCTCTAGCAATATGCTGCAACCCAGAAATGCTGCCCAAAGCAAGATTAACACTGGTTGCATGCTGCAAAGGTGGCCAACCTTAGTAACTGCAGCGCTCTGTGTGAAAACTCTCACGTGCCCTGTGGAGCTGCAGGAAGAGGGTCTGTGAGAAGATACGCGTAGGTGTAACAGTTCTCTCAAGGTCCTACGGGAAGCTGGGACTAGACTGCAAATGCAGTCAGGCCCCAGGGTAACCCAGGGACAGCAGTATAAACAGCTCTGGCTAGCTTACTTCCTCCTGCCAGGAACTTGGGTTAGCCACAACTGCCAGCAGCACAACACTCCTATCCTATGTGATAATCTAAAGCAGTTGAAGTGAGACTTTGTTGTTCAAGAGCCCCAGAACAGCCAACTCAATGTTATTTTTTAACCTGTAAGTGAAATTTGCTGGGGAAGAGAGAAGGGAGACAGAATAAACAATGGAAGCCTGCAGGCTAGTATTGACCCTCTTGTATCTCCTCCTTTGTCCTTAGATTACTGCTATTAGTGGCATCTTGCACAAAATTACTTTATACAGCTAACATTTTGTTTGCTCTGAGTCGCACTGGTTCTGCAAGTTACCATGGAAGCCAGTAAACATAGTTCTGATTCTGTAAGACTCAC